AGCAAAGGGTCTGAATATTTAGGACCATGTGATATTTCAGTTTTTCTTTTTTAATAAATCTGCAAAAATGTCAACAATTCTGTGTTTTTCTGTCAATATGGGGTGCTGTGTGTACATTAATGAGGAAAAAAAATTTACTTAAATGATTTTAGCAAATGGCTGCAATATAACAAAGAGTGAAAAATTTAAGGGGGTCTGAATACTTTCCGTACCCACTGTATATAATCTTCACAAACATCTAAAAATCTTTTTTTTAGAAAGCACTACAATTAATGATATAACAGGTAAAGCAAACATACCTTGCAGTCTTCCCATTTCAGAGTCATCTGATTCACTCTCTCCAGAGGTGGTCATGCCAACAGCTCCAGCCACTGAGCTAGACGCTTCACAACAGAGAGAGAAAATGAGCATAGGAGGTCGAGACATAGAATAAAACATTTCATGCTGACATTAAGACACTGTCATTGTGCTCAACACATACACAGTCATAGTATCACATACAATATATAGTAAAATCTCATGGCACTGCTGCTCTCTTACCTGACGCCCCTTGTGGTGTCTCCTCTGTGCGCGCGGCCGATGAATTGGCCCCATCCTGATTGTTGTCGGAGTCGGCCATTTTATCCTGTCGGCGAGATTCGGCTGCCCCACGCTTGCCCAGGCCTGAGCCTCGCCGACTAGAAAGAAAAGGAACAACAAGAAGGAAAGATCAATATTGTCATTAAAATGTGCATATCCACACATACTACACTGAAATGATGCCAAACTATCAAAAACAACTATTTAAAATGTTATTAAAATGTCCATAGCCAACCAGCACAGAATCAACCCAACTTTAAAGAGTGCGAGCGTTTAAAGTGATAACTGTAGCACACACTCATAAGAAACCAAACGTTATCATCGGTATGGATGCTAATATTGTTAACCATTAGATTTATCGTTCTTGGTATGAATGGGCCTTTACATGATTTCAGAACTACGGGGGTGTTGTTAGGCATGACGTGGAGTCATTTTATAAAAAGATTACAAATAAATTACAATGTTTTATATTAAAAAGCAGCAATAACTGAATATTTTTTTTGATGTAATGAGGTGACAGGTGTGGTGTTTGGCTTTAAATGAGACTTAGCCAATTATCAGGGCTTGCAAAATCGCTAGCCTGACATCCCGGGGCTATTGTTTCTTCCAGTTGGCCTACCAAAATATATCACCTCGCTGCCCAAAGGGCTATCATGAATAGTGATAAAATTCCTTCCTTGATTTGCATTGTCGTAGTTGATCATTAGCATGTGTTTCTAAGACTTGCCGATTATAACTAAAATTTGTTATGAAAATAAAGCTCATATTTAGGGGATCACATGGAGTTTTATATGGAAGTATGAATACCCTATAATGTGCAGGATATTTGTTCATTCCCTCACTGAAAATCTCTATGTAAAGTAAACATCTATACTTAATGTACATGGGCTTTATCCAATATACTTGTGCATCTGTTGATTTGATCTTATGTGTGGATTATCTGGTTTTATTTTAAAAACAGAAGCATGCTGAATTGACTCCGATATGAATCTCTGGTTTCAACAGCTCTGATAAATAATAAACAACGTGATATAAGGCTGGCTAATGTTAACTTTATTAACATGGGGTACTTAAATGAGTTTTCTTCAAAAAAGAAGAACTTTTTTTTTTTATTTGGGCTAGTTAAATGCAATTTTGCATTTAAAATATGTTTTTGGATGTGTGCAGACCTTCTCTTTTGCACGTGCAACGTTTCACTAGCTTGCTCACCTGATGCCCGCCCTAAAAATAATTTTTTGGTCATCTGAAAAATTATCCAATCTGTGACTCAAAATCCTTAATATGACCTGAACCATGAGTTTTGTGATCCATTGCACCCCTACTCTCTTGACTTGTTATTTGAAGAAAAAAAATACAAATCACAGAAGTTTTTGATCATGCCGATTTGTCCGCAGTGAAGTTCAGCCGATGTCTTTTTTATTTGGTCTAGTTAAATTCAATTTGGGCTACCAAAATCTGAAGAATGCCTGCCGGAAGTGCTACCAAGGATCTTGAAATTTTGCAAGCCCTGAATTATAATCAGGATATTCCAAAACATTGTATCAAATTTCTTAAGAGGATGAACTGGAAGTAGGGATGAAGCAAGATTTTAGCGATTAATTCGAATTTAATGTTTTGCCACGATTTTATTTTTTATAAATCAAGGAATCACAATTTTGAATAGAAATATTACCAAACGTTAGAATTAGACACTTTGACATTATGCCAATGTTTACAGTAAAGAGAAAAGAATGATCCAACCGCATGTCGGCACATGTGATTAACCACTCACGTGTGACGCGCTCTGTGAAGGACCATAAGTAGAACATATCACTAGGTGCCATTCACACAGAATGCGCTTTTGTGTTGACAAACATGCAATGCAGGCAGTGGAATAGGAAAAAATGCACTGGACAGCTGGCCAATCAGAGCACACCTCGCTTCTTAGACCGATGAGCTTTGTAAAAATCAACACGTTTCAGAAAGGCGGGGCATAGAGGAGAAACAATAATGTACAGTATGTGGAAAATAATTTGTTTTTTTAACCTTAAACAGCATAAACATTTCATTACACCAAATAATGTTCTTTTTAGCAACATCATATGACCCCTTTAAGTAGTGTCATTTTTTAGGATTCTATACTTAACCTAAGTCTCTGAGAACCTGACACCTTGTACTTCTGGAGACTCCAGGTAGGTTGCAGTTCTGGAAAATGGTGGCACTGGAGACTAAATGGTTCCTGGTGATTTCACACCTAATTCTTCACCTTAATTCCTAATTCTTTTGCAGTTAACATGCATCTTTTCTTCTCCACATGTTTTTGGCTGACCCTGCTGACCCACTGAGCATTTTGTTGTCCAATGGTTATGCATTAACTTTGCAATTTCTAGTATTGTATTAGTTTTGAATATTTCTCATGGGCATTTAATAATTTTTGACTTTCAGTCTGAGTTAAATCTCTTTTTTGGCTCATTTTATCTGTAGCAGAACATCTGCTTAATTATGCACACCTGAATATAAGACATTTTTCCCTTCCAGCCTTCATGAATAATTATATATCAATTATAAATGATTAAATACAAGATTAATAGTAGTTATTAAGATTGATGTCGTTTGGAATTAGTAAAATGTGCTTGGGAAAAAATATGATCAGAATATCAACTTGCATAATAATTATGCATGCACTATTTTTCCTCTTCTGTTGTTGAGGTAATGCAAGAAATGTTGTGATTTAGCAGCCTCGTCTCTGATTGGCTGAAATTACAGCATACTGTAACGCTGGGTTGTGTTGAGCAAGCGAGACGTCGGCATTTAGAGAGCACTGAGGGCGGGCATCAGGTGAGCAAGCTAGTGAAACGTTGCACGCGCAAAAAAGGTCTGCACACATCCAAAAACTTATTTTAAATGCAAAATTGATTTTCATGCGCTCAAAATACTTTCTTCTTTGCGAGAAAAACATTTTCTCCACAAAACTCAGTTCGCGCGCGTGCAAAACGCACTTTTGCGCGCTCAAAATATTATCTTTTGCGCACAGAATTGTGGCAGAGATGTAATCCCATAGAGATAGGGGCTGATTAGTAAATCTAAAGGTGCTGTCATATTAGCACAAGGGTCCAGTGTATATTGTCAATGGTGTAGCGATGTATGAATCAATGTATGATGAATGAAGCTCACACAGAATTCACTTTCAAACCAAGCAGCTTTCTGTTTGTCAACGCAACAATTCCACGTGACCAATTTGAACCCATTGCCAAATTTGTGTGGGGAAATCTTTCACCCTCAGGTGCCTTGATTTTGTCTGTGAAAGTTTGCTGAACAATAGTAAATGTGACCGCAACTTAAATTAGCTAGTATGCATCACATCGTCATCTCCGTTTCAGATTCAGATACAACAGACCTTAGACATGGGTAGCGCTAGGGGTGCTCCGATTTATCGGCTACCGATCATTATCGGCCGAAAATCATGTTGTGATGATTGATCGGCAGTCTCTAAAAAGGCCAATCTCAAAAAAACGATGTCAAGCTGATGACGCTGCCGTGAGAGGTTTGGCACGACATGCAGCAGCACCGTCTCAGTCTGGCAAGGGTGAAATAATTATAATGCTGAAGGGGTGAGGTACTCACCTTCATATTTCTTCATTAAATAATATCAAATAACAGCGTGAGTGAATCACCGCGCGCGCTCTCTCTTTCTCTCTCAAAATACGCAAATGGCTTCAAATCACCACATCTCGTCTGTCTATAAGCGAGCTGCACAGTTGACACAGGAATTGTCACTTGCACAATCGAGGCAGTGTCACATCGTCACTAAAGTTTATACAAGTAAAGTAAAGTTTTTGCATTAATTTTTAATTCTTGCCAGTGTTTAACAATTCAGCACTTGCGCGTTCTCCTGTAGACCATGCGCTCATGCACACTGGCAGCGCACACACATGTTCACATTACTCCGTTTGCAGTGCGTGGAATGTGGTGCGTATTTTTTCCGCTCTCATGTTAACAGATTAAAGCATTCACACTGCACACGGCAGTGCGTTCAGGAGCGGTGCGTCTGCAGCAGTGCAGAGATCGTTTCCGCACCGAGTCTATTTTTGCTGTGATAAACGCACTGAATTAAAGTGACAGCACATTGTTTGCAGTACATATGAAAACGAAAATGTAGCAATTGCACCATAAATGCATTTAATTAAAGTATACTGTCTTTCACAGTCAACACATATGGCTTGTTGGCTAGTTTTAAAGGAAAAGAGCACTTTTAGATAAACAAGGCAATAATAGATGCACTTGTGCGCGTAGGAAAACAGTTCTTTATGAACCGCAGGATTGCTTGTAATAAAAATTTTAATGCAAAAGGAAAGGCAGTAGAGCTGACTATTTCTGTCAATGGTAAGTTTGTGATAACGTAAGAAAAGTAGTTTAAATGTTTTGCCACTTGCTTGAGCAACTTAATATATAAATCTAGAATTAAATGCAAAAGTAAAAAGCATTGAATAATGTGTTGCTCATATTTAATGTGTTTAAACATGTCTGTGAAAGATTGTATTACTGTACTGTGTAAAAAACGAATTGCAATGCTGAAAAAGCATTTTCAGTGACAATGTTTGGATTTGAAATCAAAATAATGTTATGATTATAATGTTGGAATAAATGTTGTGTTTGTGGTAAACAGCCACGGAATCAGTAGCGGACTCCTGTGTGAAAGCTGCTTCTCCTCTCACAAGAGAGTCACCTAAGAGGGGAATTTCCCCAATTTTCAAAAATGAAATTCAGGCCCTGAACAAATGTCTAAAAATCCTGATTGAAGCATCACTATAAATAGTTATAAATTATAAAAAGAAGGCTTTAAAAAGATCGGTATCGGTGATCTGTAGCACCATTAAAATTTTTGACAGAAAAAAAAAAAAAGTGTTCAATGGATAAACATCTTTCAACAAACAATCCCCTCGCACAAGCATGTCAATGCGAGAATCTATTGTTGTTGCCATTCTTGTTTTGTCATCTCAGTTTCTTTTCTAACTGTGAAACAACAGCCTGAGCCAGTGTTGCCAACTTGTGGACAAACTAATTAGTGAAAAAAATTCAATGCACACGAGTGATTTGCAGGCTGCGCACATACAGTTTGTGTATACTGTGTTGATGATGAAACTCACATCATGCACACTGTGCACATACACACACAGCTTAAACATGTATTGTTTAGCTTGTGCTTGTTCTAGATCAGTAGGCTGTTCTGGGATTGAAGAGGCTGGCGGTTCAGTACCTGGTGCTGGCACAAGAGCCCGTGGTCTTCTGACGTGTGCTCCTCCGACAGCTGGGGAGCTCTGCTGGGGGAGACTCACTACGCTTCTTAGTAGACTTCCTCAAACCTAGAAAGAGAAATGAAGAGCATTACACTCAGAATAATCGGAAAGAAGGGAAAAGAGAGCGAGAGTTAAAGGACAGCAAGCCTAAATTAGAAGCCAGTCACTGAGAGAGGATCACAGGAGAACAGCGCGTTTTAATCAATCACAAAGAGAACAGTATTATATTTCTCAGCAGGCTACAATGATACATCAGAAAGAACAGAATTAAACCTTTAGTTTTTTACTTCAGACTTCTGAAGTAGGATGCTGTACTTTTGAGAGTTTGTGTCAGATTATTATTACTTTTTATTTGCATTTTCAATGTGTAAATTCACCCAAATAATCAGTTTATAACTGGTTTGAACGGGGTGGTGTAGATCTTGAATAATATGATCAACAGGCAAAAACTGAGCATATAAACACTCAAATCTGACCATTTTCTTAAACGGATAAAAAAAACCTAAATTGTTTACATGCAAAGGGACGTGATGCATTTGTTACAAATGTTTTACATCATACAAATATCTGTATGTTCATTTATCTTTCACATCTTACAAAGCAGTCAGTGGAGAAGCCTAAATAAACATACTGTTCTCATATATACATCAGCAATCTTTATTAGAGATCAGCTGATTACCAATAATAATAACTAAGTTGGACTGCACGGGCCAATAACCAACTAATCAACCGACAGTTTATTTAATCAAAATAAAATATGCCGGTCATACACCGGACGATAAGCACATCACAGCTAGGACAACTCACTGGTATCACACAACGAACACACTGCAATCAATTAAAGTGCCGGTCCAAAAAAAGTTTATTTCATCACCTAACAGGCAAAGGTTCACTTTAAGAAAGAAAAAAAAGTGTCGTAAATTAGTTTGAAGTTCTGCATTTCTGATTTATGTGTCGGTTGGCTGCATGAACATATCAGTTTGTTTGCTCACATCACTAGCTTTAAATATATAACTTTACTGGCCAATGAATGCATAAAAGTGATCAGCTGGACATAAATTAATACAACTAGATGGCAACAATCGTGACATTAAAGAATCGAATTTGCGTGTATTTTTTGTCAAATTGTTTTAACCACTTGGGGTCCTACTTATGTTAGCATCCTCTCAGACATGACGCCAAACATACTGCTGTTCTTTTTCAACTAATGCAGAATCTAGTTAAATTAATTAATGTAAAGTAATATGAAAACATGCACTATACTATACTGTATACACCATTTCGTTGTCCGTTTTAAATCAGCATCTGGAGTGTCCCTCTCTGTGCAGCGCTCGCGTGTCAAAACAAACAGCACGAGGCTTCAGTGATTTGACCTCTAGAGGCCGCTCTCGTACGGTATGACAGTAATGATAGCGGACCCTTCTCAGCCACACCAGCTATGGATGCAACCAGGAAAACCTATCTGTACGGATTTTTGCTGATAACCGATTGTACCAGCAATTAATTGGCAAATCAATCCATTTGTCGACCTCTAATCTATATTGAAATGTTGTAGATCAAGTGACATTATCATAGCGACTGTGCTCTGCATATGCGTTTCGTTTGAAATACATGAAATGCACATGTAAGCTAATATGTGGATTCATTTATGCAATGTTTAGGATTCATTTAAACATTTTATTGAATGTGAAATCTGACTGGAGTCATTCGGTTTAAAAACTAACAAAACTAATGTAAACATAGCTAATGAGAAAAAAACCCACACTGTTTATCACACATCTTGAGCATATGAGATTTAAGAGCAAAAATAAAAAAAGAAAATTAGATTAAAAGCCACTAAAATTTGGGTCTGTTCCTCACACAAAACTATCGTAGTCATCCAGACCTGATTTGGTAGCAATGGGGGAGTCACAATATTACTACTGTATTTCACAAATATAATATCAAATAGTTTGTGTAAACAGCAACTATTACCTTAAACATATTAAAAAATTATGAATTAACAAAAAAAAAAAAAAAAGTCTGCATTAGACTTAGTAGAAACAAACCAAAATCATCTAACAGACAACAGAATTTACAAAGAAATATCAAGAGACAAAAATTATGTACAGGACAAACAGTGAAAACAAAGGGAATAATAGCACTGTAAAGCATTAACCCATCATCTAGCTCTGACCTTTGGCCACTGCTCACAACAAGCACATTACTCCATACAGAACACGTGTTAAGACAGTTTCCACAGAAACCAGCACATTCTGCATGTCATCTCATTAGCACTGTGTGTAAATTAAGTCACACCGTACATTCTACACTTAAAGGTACAATATGTAAGTTTTCGCCACTAGAGGTTGCATTTTCAAAACAATAACAAAGGTAAAGTTTGATGACGCTATGAAGGAGGATGTTCACGAATGAGGTAATGAATACATTTTTTTATTACCTGTACCTTCCATAGTTATTCAAACTGCGAATAAATTATACAGAGAATGCAAGCAAAGAACATTTACACTGTCAAAGAACATTATGACTGACTTAAGTCTAGCGCGAGTTTAAGCACTCTCAAAAAACTCCCCTTATAATCAGTAAAGCTGTCTATACACGGTTTTATGAATGAATCTCTTACATCATACGTACATCTGTGCTTAGTTTATGATGAGAGAATTTGCGTGAGAGCTGAATTCAGTCAGCGAGCGTCGTGCACTGAACAAAAACTCATCTGAACGCCTCTGATTGGCCATCGCATTCATAAGCTCAACAGACTCGTGTGTGATTGGTTATAATGCGCAACACTGTAAAAACGTATTAAAAATCATGGCGCAATACTGAGCAGATCTAAATTTAATGCTGCGGTCAACACTTTTCATTTCATTTGCGACAGCCGTAATGGATTTAGTTTAACTGTACAGCAGCCTTTGTGTCTGTGTTGCCATAGTTTCTACAAGCGGAAACTGAGGATATGTGGATATTACATCATTGATCGGCGACAATGACCAGGGACGAGTCATTATTTAAAACTGGAATTTCTCTGGATTTAAAAATCCTTGGGAACTTTTGGAATAACAAATACACAACTGCATAAAATATACACTGTGCAAGTAGTTTTTGGATATTTTATTACGAAAATCTTACATATTGTACTAGGGCTGTACCTATCGATTATTTTAGTAATCGAGTATTCTGCAGATTATTCCATCGATTAATCGAGTAATCAGGTAAGTAATTTTTCTTTTTTAGAGAGCAATACTAAATATGCAAGAGATAAGATAGATCTCTTAAAATAAACAACTAATTTGTTTTCTTTTCAGAAAAATTCATTTTTATTGCTGAAATTGCATACATTAATAACTGTGAAAACTAAACCCATTTAATGTATTTAATTGCCAAATTGCATTCAAAATGCAAATACAAATATATCAATAAAATAAATAAAATAAATAAATAAAAATACAAAAATCTATTTCACATTACTTTAAAAAAGGTAAACAGTACAAACTAAAACTAAGGCATAAATCAAAATAATAGTAATCAAAATAATATTTATACCTAAACATTGCATTTATGTGGTGCAAATTAACTTTCAAGTTTCAGCCTAACTAAAGCTCAAGCATGACATAAGCCTTTATTGTCTTCTTGGAAGGCTTTGTGGCTTTTGTGAGAGGCAAAAATCAGTGGAGAGGAAGGTAACTTGGAACAAGAACAACACATTTTTCTGCAACATGAAATTAGAGTTATTTGGAACCCTCTTAAATGTCCCTATACGTACTGGTGCCTACCTACTCACCTACTCAATACTGAGTGTGTGTGTGTGTGTGTGTGTAAGTAAAACTTGTTTTTGATATTCTTCATATTCTGTGTGCTGTCAGTTCACAACAGTGTTAGAAATTAATCTGTTCCAATAAGTTTAAATAGATTTTTACGTTTTATGGGCATTTTTACTAGGGATGCACCGATACCGCTTTTTCCAGTACTCGCCCGATACCGATACTTTTATTTTTGGTACTTGCCTATACCGGTATTTTTATTGCATTTGTACATTTTTTAAATATTGGGTACAGAAACCAAAAGGGTATGTATAATGTTAGTTGGTTAACTTAATTTATCAAATAGATACAGTCAAATCAATTTATTCAGACACCTTCAACATTTCTCACATTATCACAATTTATTCGCTATAGTTTAGAAAATGGTAATAAAATATTACAAGAACTCAGAGTTACACTGTGTCAGAACAAATTCATCTTGATAATATTAAGATAATCTTCGGTTATTTTCACACTTAATTATGCCCATTAAAAATGTATTTTACAAGTTTGTGTTACTTTCACTGTTAATTTTTTTGCTCTGTGGTACATCATCTTTAATTTAATAACATTAGAGGTGCTCCATTGCAGCGGCTTAGTACTGTAATCACGCGCTTTGCTGTAATAATGCAGGGAACCACTCGTTATAAATCTCCTAACTGTGATATTTTCAGAAATAGAAGTAGCATTTTTTCATCTGAAACGTGCTGCGATTTATATTCCAAAGCCACTTATATAATGCAGAAACACTCAAGCAAGCAAAACGTGCAACGCGTGCACGTATTTGTACTGATGCAGAAAGAGAGGACTGTAATACAGCCGAGCGCATTTCACACAGGCTTCTAGATTCACTTCCAGCAGAAAGTCGTGTATGCCTAAGGTTGAAAATAAATGATGTTTATAGTGAATGCCCCTACGAATTGTTTTATTTTTACGATTTAGTTTTAATCCCATACGTGTGCCAAGTGAGTGAACATTAAAGATCTCTCGCTCTCTCTCTCGCTACCGTTAAGTAACTTGTGCATTGTTTTACTTACTCGTTTTTGACACATCCGACCGAACTACAAACTTTCCAGTGATGTCTGTGAGAAAGGTATATTCACTCGACAAGCTCGCGCATCTGCGCCGCCGCGCGCTCAATCCACTCAGCGTGCTTTGTTTATCAGCTCGCACACACCAGGCATACAGGCGTTAATACTGAATTTTTAACATTATATTCATTGCATACATATACTTCGTAGTAGACATCCTTAACTCCTTTCTGCT